GAGCCAAACCGGTCTGGGCTTATTGAATTTTACAGAGAGGAAGAGAGAGGGATAAAGAGATAGAAACATCGATGAGAGAGAAAGATCAATCAGCCGACTTCTGCACACCCCCCACTGGCGATGTGCCCGCAACCAAGGCACATGCCCCTGACCAGAATCGAATCTGGAACCTTTCTGTCCGCAGGCCAACACTCTATCCACTGAGCCAAAGGTCCAGGCTGGGGTTTTTTTGTTTTTTTGTTTTTTGTGAACTTTTAAATTTTATTTTATTCTTTAAAATATTACAAATAGTAGTACATGTGTCTCATTTTTTCCCCCAATGACCTTCCCCCGGGCTCTCCTCCCCCCTTTCCCCCACCCACCCCTGCACATACCCTTATCCTACACCCTCACTGTCTTGTGTCCATTGGTTATGCTTATATGCGTGCATACAAGTCCTTCAGTTGATCTCTTACTCTCACACCACCCACCCCCCCTATGTAACACTCCCAAGCTTCCTGCTGTAAGGAGCCCTGATCAGGGATAGAAACCACAACCTTGGCATATTGGAAAGACACTACAACCAATTGAGCTACGCAACCAGGCAAGATTGAGTTGAATGTGGCCAATGAAATGATTAAAAAAAAAAAATCTCTATATCTGATAAAAACTCTGAACACCAAAGTTTAGTGGAGCTTCCTGGTTGATGCTTGGGGGGGGGGGGGGGGGGGGTGTAAGAGGGGAGAGGTGGTAATGTACCCTGATTTCACAGAAAGGAGGACAAAAACTCTGTTCAGGACCATCCCTGACTTCACCCTATGTGTTTCTTCATTTGGCTGGTCCTGATCTGTATCCTTTAAAATGAAACAGTAATTTTTTTAAAATATATTTTAATGATTTTTCACAGAGAGGAAGAGAGAGGGATAGAGAGTTAGAAACATCAATATAAAAGAATCATCGATCAGCTGCCTCTTGTACACCCCCTACTAAGGATGTGCCCGCAACCAAGGTACACGCCCTCAACCGGAATCCAACCCGGGACTTTTCAGTCCGCAGGCCGACGCTCTATCCACTGAGCCAAACCTGTCCCGGCTGAAACAGTAATCATTAAGGACAATGTTTTCTTGAATTCTTTGTCATTCTATTAAATTATCAAACTTGATGGGGGTGTGGGATTAGTGTGGTCAGAAGGTCAAAATTGGGGGTAGAATGAAGATCCAGTTCGCCATTGGCCTCTGGGTAAGGGCAGTCTTGATTCCAAGTGGTTAGTGTCAGAATAGTACTGCAGTATACTAGCTGGTGTCAAAACACCAAAACTTCTAGGAGTGCTTCTATCATTTCTTACCCAAGCTAACCTCTACCTGCTGAATAGTATATAAAAGGAATGATAAATGGTAATGGGAGGAGTCTTGACATGGGTGGTAAACATATAATACATATAAACTTGCACAATTTCTATCATTATGTAATCTATACAAGCCCGATTCCTCACAATTTTTGGTTTCTTCAGAACTGTCAGCAAATCAACTTCCAGAAAAATTATCTCAAAAGAAAAAAGTCATTTACTAGAAGTAGTTGGAGAAGTTGGTATCAAATCCCAAGAACACTTAATTTTTTTGAAATAAATGTTTACATAACACTACATGAAGGGTTGGCAAACTTGTTTTGCACAGAGCCAAAGAGCAAATATTTTAGGCTTTCAGGACATATGTAAAGGCCATCTGTCATTACTAAACTGTATCACTGTAGTGGTAAAAGCAGCAATAGCACTATGTAAACAAAGGAATGCTGCCATAATCCAATAAAACTTTATTTTGTTAAAAAAAAAAAAAGTGCACCGTATTTAGCCCACACAATTATGATTGTCCCTGCACTAGATTAATTATTCAAATAAATATAAAATATGTAAGTCTATACAAATGGCATGACCATACAAATAAATATAGGTAAGATTAATATATTTTTAAAACTGAATTTAGAGAAACCAAGATGGCGGCATAGGTAGACACCTGAATGCAGCCTACCACAACAATTTTTAGAGCGGGAAAACGGGGGAAACATCGCCTTGAACTGCCGGATGGCTGGCTGAGAGGAGGCTCTACTATCCGGGAAGGAGAGAGATGGCACACTGAGCTTCAAGAACTGTAAAGCTGCGGAGATCTGTGCGCGAGAAAAGGCAGCCGCCCGAATTCGCTGCTGGCTTACTCAAGGCAGGCAGAGAGGGCAGACAGCTAAACACGCTGGCTTTCTTGTTCGGGAGGAAAACAGAACCACCCTATTGCTCTGATAGACGGACCCAGTCAGGGAGAGGCCAGACTGTCAGGCATATGTCCTTGACCTGAATTGAACCTGGGATCTTTCAGTCCACAGGCTGACACTCTCCACTGAGCCAAACTGGTTTCGGCTAGCTTCTATATTTTTCAAAAGGAGAAGAAAATGTTATTAACAGCTTTATACAAATAAGTCGCAACTTAGGGGGAAAGGCCAAATAATATTGGAAAAATATCAATACAAAGATCCATTAATATGAAACAGATAAGCAGAAGAGCCTTATATCTATTAAAGTAATTAAATACAAAGTTCAAAACCTCCCTAATCAAGAAAACTCCAGCTCCAGATGGCTTCACTGATAAATTCTGCCAAACATTGAAAGAAGAACGAATATCAATTCTACACATATGTGTGTGTTTTTAATAAAATTGAAGATACTGACACCAAAACCAGATATTATAAGAAAACTAGATCAATAAATCTCAGGAGCATAAAAACAAAATTTTTAACAAAATTTTAGTAAAATAAGTCTAAAAAATCTCTGAACCAGATAATACATCACAGTCAAGTAATTTATCCCAGGAAAGCAAGGCCAGTTTAACATTTAAAAGAAAAAAAAAATTTAATTCACCATATAACAGACCAAAAAATATAAACATGATCATTTCAACAAAGAAAACGTTTTTTATAAAATCCATTACCCATTTCTGATAAGAACTCTCAGCAAACTAGCACTAGAAAACAACTTCATTCAACATATTTCTGAAAAACATAGACTACAATTATACTTATGTAAAAGACTGAATGCTTTCTAATAAAATAGCAACAAGGTAACAATAACCATTTTCACTACTCCTATTTCAACATTGTCTTGAAGCTTCAAACTAGTGCAGTAAGGCAAAAATAAATAAAAGTAAAAAGCAAGAAAAATAGAAAAGGAAAAAATAAAACTTTTTATTTATAAACATGATATTCTACATAGAAAATCCAATGGAATCTATATAATAAATACTATAACTATTAAGTGACTTTAACAAGCACACAAAGTTTATCAAATACCAATTGTATTTCTGTATATATAAGGAAGAAAAAAATCAAGACTTAAAATAAATACCAAGTAGCATTAAAAAAAATGACATATTTTGAAATAAATCTGACAAAGAAATGCAAGGCTTAAATACTGAAACCTACAGAAAACACATGAAAAGATATTCGATATCATTAATCACTAGAGGAAGGGAGATTAAAACCACAATAAGACACTACTACATACCTATTGAAATGGCTAAAATTTTAAAAACTGACCACAGCAAGCACTGGTGAGAACAAGAAGCAATTAAAACTCTCATTAGTGTTGATGGGAAGGTAAAATGGTACAATCATTTTGGAAAACAATTTGGCTATAAATTTGGTTGTAATGTTAAATATGTACCATGTGACCTAGCCATTCCACTCAGAGGAAGCTAATTTACCAAAGAGAAATAAAAACACATGACCATATAAAGACTTGTACACAAATATTCAGTTTTATTTGTAATAGACAAAACCTGAAAGCAATCCAGATGTCCATCAACATGTAAATAGATAGCCCAGCCTGTGTTATCACTCAGTGGTTAATCATTGAATTAAGAACCAGGAGGTCATGGCTCAATTCCCAGTCACAACACAAGCCATCCCCAGTAGTAGGGGGCTTGCAGGATGCAGCTGATTGATGATTTTCTTTCATCATTGATGTTTCTATCTCTCTCTCCCTTTTCCTTCCTCTCTGAAGTCAATAAAAATATATACTTACCCTAGCCAGTTTGGCTCAGTAGATAAGAGTGTCAGCCTGTGGACTAAAGGGTCCTAAGTTCGATTCAGGTCAAGGACATATTCCCAGGTTGTGTGCTCCATTCCCCATGGGGGGCATGCAAGAGGCAACTGATTGATGATTCTCTATCATCTGGATCTCTCTCTCTCTTTTGCCCTTCCTCTCCCAAGTCAATAAAAATATATATTTTTTTTAAAGTGCATGGCACAGCACAAATTAAAAAAAAAATAAAAATATATTCCAAAAAAGACCCATAAATGGATAAAGAAAATGTGGAACAATGGAATAGTACTCAGCAATACAAAGGAGTGAACTATTTTTACATATAACATGAATGAATATCCAAATAATTATGCTGATTGAAAGTAGTCTGACAAATAATATATAACATCTGATTTCATTTATATAAAATTTCAGAAAATGTAAACTAATCCATAGTGACAGAAAGCCTGAGGACAGGGTATGGAAAAATGAAGAGGGATAGCAAAGGAGTATGAAGATATGAAGAAATTTGGGGAGGATGTTCATTATCTTGAATGTACTGATGGTCTCATAGATAATGTATAATCAAATTTGATAAAACTGTATGCTTTGTGTGCAATTTACTTTACTTCAAAAAAGATCTTATAAGAGAAATAGGATAAGTGGTGATGATTACACAACAATGTGAATATACCTAATGCCAGTGAACTATACACTTCAAAATGGTTGAAATGATAAAATTTTATGTTGTGTATATTCTACCACACAAAGAAAAAACGTTAAAAAAAAAAAAAAAAAAAAAAAAGGAAGAGTTGGTTTACTGACCTCAAAGCTAAAGCTGAAAGTGATAATAACTATAGTCAGTCGGTAAGAAAATGAGTAAGAAATCCATATATCCAGGCTATCTACTCCTTTGATATATGCTGCTGGTTGCTTAAAGCTATTTATAAGCCGTTACCTGTGAGATATGATTGATGGAAGACTCCATTCTCCGAAGCTGAGAGGCTTGGATATCCAGCAGTTGGAGTACATTGTTGGCCAATGCATTTATTTGATAAGCAACACTAGCTAGGGATTGGGTTGTATAGGCTTTGGTCTCTTCTAACGCTTTTCTCTTGTCTGTAGCCTGAAATAAGAACAAAAACAATCAATACTTACTTATGTTAACATTCATTAAACACATTCTATAGAAAGTCAAACTTATAGTTCTTTGTAATAGGAAAACCCAATTGAATAAAAAATAAAAATAAAAAACTGGACCATTCTGATGATAGACTGTCTGACACTTATAAACCCATGGCAGAAATCCCTATCAGCCAGATGTAAACTACTTCCTCCTGAGCAGCCCATCCGCTGAGGTCCACTAAAGGAACCACCAAGAAATTAACATCAATAACAGGTGGTGCTAAGTTGCTTAAAGCTCCTGAACCATAAATTTATCGCATTACATCTTTAGAACCTTAAGTCTGCCCAAGCTCCCCAACCCTTACTGAGAATTTAAACTATTCCAGAATGTCACTGCCGTGGTAACTGGCCTGAAGGGCTCTTGAACTGACACTAGCTCTTCTAAAAAAACACATGCCCTAGATAATAGCTTTCAAGAATCACTACATAGATATAGATATAGATATAGATATAGATATAGATATAGATATAGATATAGATATAGATATAGATATAGATATAGATATAGATATAGATATAGATATAGATATAGATATATAGATATAGATAGATATAGATATATAGATATATAGATATATTGATATGACTCACCCAAAACCCTTGTGATAAAGTATCCCCTGTCCCTCCTTCCCCTTTATTTCCCTGTAAGTCAGTCCTCATCCCCATTAGAGATTATAAAAAAAAAACCCACTCTCTTTGGTTTGAACTGACCAATCCAGCCTTAGCCTAGGAACCCCAAAGCACTCCACCCACAGACCCTAAAAAAGGCATCTGCTCCAGGTCCTGCTGCTCACTCTCTGTGCACCCCTGCATTGGCTTCTTCATGAGTATCCTCAAAGCATACTGTGTACCTCCTCCTGGACCTGTCAGTCAGTGATAAACTTCTATGTTTCACTTTCCCTTCAGTCTTTTGTTGAACCTTAGCTCACCATCTGATGACATTCTGAGGTTCTACTTCACAAACCGTGACAAACAAACAAAATCGCCAACACCCATTAACATTGATATGGGCTAAATCCATTCAACCTTATATTCCTGTTTACATTAATCACCACTGGACATATAACCTCCTTGTTATCCATTATGATAAAGTCTCTGATCTCCATAAAAACTACTATGAATCTTATTACTCAATTCTCTACCCACTGGTTCTTCCCAAACTCATATAACTCAGAGTAAGGTGATACACAGAGTTCAAAGCAAAGCTCAGAGTGACGTTTAAAGACGAGTAATAAACTTGTCTTTGGCAATGAGGGTGGGCGATAACAACTTACTAGTATATAACAAAGGGTTAGATAGCATTAATTTATATAATCTAAAAATGAATTGTCTAGTCCAAACTTTTATAAATATTGTAATTCCCTTTTCAAAAGCCAAGAATCAATAGGGGGGGGGGGGGGGGAATGAAACAGAGTCTAACAAACTGCTAGTGTTCAAGTAACCCTTATTTTACTTAGTGGTCCCAAAGAGCAATAGTGATGTTCGAAATTCAGATATACAAAGGAGAAGCCGAAAACTGCTTCCTTTAAGTGAAAAAGTAAAAATTCTTGACTTAATAAACAACTGTATGCTGAGGCTGCTAAGATCTAAGTAAGAATGAATGAATGAAATTATGAAGGAAAATAAAATTCATGTTAGTTTTGTCATAGCACCTCAAACTATAAAATTTATAGCCACATTACATGATGTAATGTGTTAAGATGGAAAAGGCATTAAATTTTTCATGGAAGACATGAATAGAAGCCATGTTGCCATAACTTTTATAATAGTATATTGTTAAATTGTTCTATTTTATTAGTTATTGTTGTTAATATCTTATTATTATTACCTATTTTCTAAATTAAATATTGTCATAGATATGAAAGTAATATAGGAAAAATATTAATGATGAGACAGAAACAGTTTGGGATATCATCTGGAGAGATCTTGGAGAGTATCTCCTGTAGGGACTACTATAATAAGGATTGTTGAGGAATATCTTTATTAACACTACACCATGATCCACAGAGTACTGCTAAGGTGAAGAAAAACAAGATGGAAAAAAATGTTTATAGAACACTTTTATTTCACTAGAAAGGGAGAAAGATAGAAATATATATGCTTATATTTTTTAAGGAGTAAACCAACATTTTTTTTGTTGTTGTTGTTGTAAATCCTCACCCAAGGACATTTTTTTCCTTTGGTTTTCTGAGAGAGCAAAAAGAGCGGGAAGAGAGAAAACAGTGAGAAGGAGGCGGGGAGGAGAGAAAGGGAGAGAGACATTGATGTGAGAGAGACATGCGAGAAACATTGATTGGTTGCCTCTTGCACTCCCAGAATAGGGGCAGGAAGCAAACCCTCAACTGAGGTATGTGCCCTTGACTAGACATGGAGCCTTCAGTGCACAGTATGGCACTGTAACCACTAAGCAATCTAACCAAGGCAAAACTTTTTATTACATACTAGCGGCCCAGTGCCCAAAATTTGTACACGGGGGAGGGGAGTGTCCCTCAGCCCAGTCTGCACTCTCTCCAATCTGGGACCCCTCAGGGGATGTCCAACTGCTGGTTTAAGGGCATATACTCCAGCCATTAGGAAAATCACACAGAATGTTCTTGACCTACAAACAGTGTGATTTGAGTTGTTTTAATAATAATGGCTATTCCTTTAAATATCTGCTTACATACAATACAGCTGGTACAATGTGAATTCATAATGTTAATATCATAGAAGGTTATAGTGGAAATAATCTTGAATCATCTAGTCTAAACTTTTACAAATACTGGAAAACCCTTTTCAAAGATTTTGAATGCTTTTTGTCCTAAGAAGCTTAACCAACTTTTGAGGCAACCCATTTTCTGTGAAAGAACTGGGAACTCCAGCAGGGCTGAGGGGACTAGGTGCCCCATCTTGTGGCTATGGGCACTGCCATCTTTGTGATGACATGATGGTCAATTTGCATATTCCCTATATGTACTATGCTTTTATTATATAAAATGGATGAGGGGATTAGTTGGAACAAACATGAATAAAATTCTTTAAACACTAGAGGCCCAGTGCACGAAATTCATGCATGGAGGGGGGGGTGTCCCTCAGCCCAGCCTGCATCTTCTCCAATCTGGGACCTCTCGAGGGATGTCCCACTGCTTGGTAGGATCGGGTCTAAATGGGCAGTCAGTCATCCCTCTCACAATCCAGGACTGCTGGCTCCCAACTGCTCACCTGCCTGCCTTCCTGGTTGCCCCTAACTGCTTCTGCCTGCCAGCCTGATCACCTCCTAACCACTCCCAAGCCAGCCTGATTGAGGTCTAACTGCTCCCCTGACAGCCTGTTGCCCCCAACTTCTCTCCTCTGCTGGCCTGATCGCCCCTAACTGCCCTCCCTTTCAGGCCTGGTTCCTCCCAACTGCCCTCCCCTGCTGGCCATTTGGTGGCCATCTTATGTCCACCTGGGGGCAGCCATCTAGTATGTTGGAATAATGTTCAATTTTTTTTTTAAATATATTTTATTGATTTTTACACAGAGAGGAATTAAGAGAGATAGTTAGAAATGTCGATGAGAGAGATACATCAACCAGCTGCCTCTTGCACACCCCCCACTGGGGATGTGCCCGCAACCAAGGTACGTGCCCTTGACCGGAATCGAACCCAGGACCTTTCAGTCCGCAGGCTGACGCTCTATCCACTGAGCCAAACCGGTTTTGGCATAATGTTCAATTTTAATATTATTCTTTTATTAGGATTACCTTGATTTGTAGATTTTAGAAACTATGTAAATAATTTACACAGTGATAAAATAAAGTTAAATTTTAAAAAGAGAATTCATCAAAATTAAATGTAAAATTAATCAAGGACCCTCATCTAATTCAAACTAGTGGCTTAACCAGAAAGGAAACATTCTAAAAGTGACTTAAAAGCACAGTCATTTGATTGTATATTCTTTTTTTCCCTTTTTTATTGATATTTAGAGAGAGGAGAAGGAATTGATATGAGAGCATAACATTGACCAACTGCCTCCTGCATGCCCCCTATCAGAGCTCAGCATGTGCCCTGACCTAGAATCCAACCGGCAACCTTTTGGTGTACTGGATGATGCCCAAACAACTGAGCCACACCTGACAAGGCTAAATGTATGTTCTTCTTTTTTAATTTATTTATAGTAATTGAAATTTTTATATATCTTTTTTCTTGTTGTTGTTAATCCGCACCCAAGAATATTTTTTCCGTTTATTTTTAATATATGTACACTGAGTGGCCAGATTATTATGATCTCTGAATGCATAATAATCAAGGCAGGCCTGGTGCAAGAATTCATGCATGGGTGGGATCTGGTCAGCCTGGCCAAGGGAAGAGACATGGGCAGTTGGCCGGCCTGCCTGCTGGTCGAACTCCTGGTCGAGGGGACAATTTGCATATTAGCCTTTTATTATATAGGATATACAGTGAGTGGCCAGATTATTATGTGTTCAGAGATCATAATAATCTGGCCACTCAGTGTGTGTGTGTGTGTGTGTGTGTGTGTGTGTGTATTTTATTGACTTCAGAGAAGAAGGGAGAGAGAGAGAGAGAGAGAGAGAGAGAGAGAGAGACAGACAGACACTGATGAGAGAAAACCATTCATCGGCTGCCTCCCACACGCCACCTACTGGGGATCAAGCCTGCAATATTGGCATGTGCCCTGGATGGGAATCAAATCAGGGAACCTTCAGTTCGCAGGCCAACGCTCTATCCACTGAGCCAAACCAGCCAGGGCTCCATTTATTTTTAGAGAAAGTGGGAGGGAGGAAATGATTGGTTGCCTCCTGCACATGCTGGGGTGTGGGATCCAGCCTGCAACCCAGGAACATGTTTTTGACTGGGAACCAACCTGAAACCCTTCAGTGTTTGTACTGACACTCTAACCACTGAGAATCAGCAGCCAATGCTGATTATATTCTCTTAAAGGTATTTATCCTTAGGATAA